TGGAAACAAAAATAGAATGTTCAATTAATTTTGTTCATGTGATTCATAGTTAAATAACATAGCAATTATTTTAAGTTTTATCAACTCATATATATAAATATATTGTACATACATATATAGTAATCAATTAGTAGTTACTCAGAAAGTAAATTTTCTTCTCAAAAGAGAAGTAAAAACGTACAACAATATGCGCATATGCATATACATAATAATATGTACTCGGTACTCGGGCAATGAGCGGTATCTTTTTGTTTGAATGTGAAATGAAATAATCATAAAAATTTAAGCATCATTGATATTGACATATATTGAGAATACACTATATGTACAAAAATATGCATAAATAAGCAACTATGCAATGTCACAATAAAAAATGTATAAGCAATTACTGTAGATAGGCGCGTAGCACGCAAAGTTAGTAAAGGAAATAGAGCACAAAGCCAAGAAAAGTATACATTGATAGGTATATAGTATACTATGGTTTAGGTAGAATTCAGAAATATACTCAGTAACGAATAATGAAGGGTTGAGTGAGGTCAGTGAGTTGGCAATAATAAAAAATATATTATATATGGACATGGTATGAAGACCTTGAATATGGTAAAGAAGAAAATTTTCAAATATTCAAAAGACACGTAGATGAAAGTAAGAATATTATCAATATATATAATAAAAATATAATAAAAAAATATACATATAATATATACTCTTCACATGTGAATTTCTTTTAGCATAAACGGGGTATACAAATATCTTTATCTTAATTTTGAACGGTAAGTTTGAATGGCAATTAAATACTATAGTGTTCTAATCAGAACAATATGTTCGAAGATTGGAAAAATGCCTTTGACAATAATTTATGGCAAATTTCGAGAAGATGTCTTGTCAAATAAATACGTTTTCCATAGAAGAACTGGATTGTGATCGGTCAATTTTTGTATGGCAGCTATATGCTATCGTCGGACCAAGACGATCTGACAACTAAGCAGCTTCTTGCGGTGTGTGCAAAATTTTAGATCAATATCTCAATAACTGAGGTACTAGTTGTTCGGCGTATAGATAAATATAAATACATAAAACAATATAAATAGAGAAATAATTATAAATATATAATGTAATATATGCATCTTTAATCAAGTACATAAACTTCATTAAAAATTTTACTGTTATTTTATGTGTAGTGAAAAAGTAAACGCTTATATCAAATATAAAAAATAAAAATTTGCAATGCAAAAATATGAAATAAAACCAACTTTGTTCAGCAATTTGCATTATGTTTTGGAAAAAATGTTATTTATTTTTTTCGTGATGTTTAAATTTGTTCTTATTATTATTATTACTTTAATGTTGTGGTTTTTATATCGTCTGTGCACAACTCAATGCGTCGCTTTTGTAAACTAAAACTAAATCTAAATTAATTCGAAAGCATAAGTGGTGTCTTATATAATAATATATAATAGATGATTTTTTAAAAGGAAAATAATACTTAGCAACTAAATAAAAGGAAAAAACAGTACAGTATGTGTGCATATGCATAAGAACTTCAAGTAGTTTGAGCATATATTTAGACAAGACAATGTAATAAAGATTATCAAAAATAAACTTAAAAGTAAAGAAGTTTCATTTCAACTTATGCAACTTAGTACAAACAGCGTGTGTATGTAAAGATGCCAGTAGTTTTGAGTATGTGATGTGACTTGTTTTGGATGTATAAATTACTTTGAATAGAGCGCGGCGTGCGTTTTGGCGGAAATATTGATAAATATTACTAGTTGTAAACAAGTTTCGCATTTTTGAATATAAATAAAATTTTGAAAATTGCAAAAATAATAAATATTTAGTTTTTAATATTTCCGATGGAACTGTTTTGTTATTTCATTATTCTACTGTTTTTCTTGTATTTGTTTAATTTTTTGAATTGTTTTAATTTTGTAATTTCAATATTTCCTTATTTTAGCGTGTTCTATTTATTTTAAGGCTTATTTTTGTTAGTAATATTGTTGCTATTGCAGTTATTTTGTTTACTATTTACGCAACTATTTTGATTTAGTTGCTATGCAAATGTGTCTGTCAACTGTTAGTGGCTTTTAATGAACTTGCAAATTCAGTAATTTCATTTATACTTTTTATAACTATTCTAATGTATACTACCAAAGTCCGCTTTACACCTTCATTTTGCAAATAGTTAGTTTGTGCCGCCATCTACGTCGTTCCAAGCGTCCTACAGCTCGTTTTTACCGTTGACTTAACACATAACATTAATATTGTATTTTATTTGCTTGGTATTTCAATGTTTTTATTTTTATTTATTTTTTTTTTTGTGTTTTGTTTGCATATTTCTTACATAATTCCGTTATTCATATATAAAACTAATTTTTTTTCTATTTTGTTGTTGCTCTGATTTAGCAAAGTCAACGCATTACCTGGTAATGCTTGTGCGGATGTTACAAATTTTGCTTCCGTTATATTATTTTTTGTTTGTTTTTGTACCATCAGCGCTCCAATTTTTTACATTTTTCTACTTTAAACACAATTTTTCGCTATATTTACCACAAATTCCATCGACACCTAATTCTTTTACTATTTTCATATATTTTCATATTGCTTCTAAAGTTACTAATTTTTTTTTATAGTCAACAGAATTATGGTAAAAAAAAATTGGAAAAGTCAAATAAAAGTGTGGACGCCTTTTTTTATGCTCATAAAATAAAAAGATGGTAGCACATATGGTCTTACTTTGCTTTGGCGGAAACAAGGACTTAGAAATACAATATATATATATTTTTTTGCAAATTATAGCAAATATGTCAAATAATAAATATCACGTGGTTAAATTAGTAACATTTAAGCTTCAACAATAGCTTTAACCTTAAAAGCTCATTCCAAACTCAAAGATAAATTTTAAGTTCAAAGCTGATTCTAACCTCAAACGCTCGCTTTAACCTCAAAAGCTCATTCTAAGCTCAAAAGATAATTTCTAAGCTCAAAAGCTCGTTTCAAACTCAAAATTTCGCTTCAATCTAAAAGGCTCATTTCTCATCTCAAGAACTCAGTCTAACATTAAAAGCTCATTTCTAACCTCAAAAGTTATTTCTAACCGCAAGAGCTCATTTTAAGTTTAGGAGTTCAGTTTTGACCTCAAAAGCTTATTCTAAACTCAAGAGCTTGTTTTAACCTCAAAAGCTCATTTCTAACCTCTAGAGCTTATGTCTAACTTCAAAATATCATTTACAATCTCAAGCTCTCATTCCCAACCTCAAAGGCTCTCTTTTAACCACAAAATTGCTCAATTAAACTTACAAATAAATATGAACTGCATTATTTTTAACACATTTCCACAAAGAAATTTCAATTGTGCCACAACAAATTTGTAAATTTGTAAAATATTATTAAACAAATTCACGCATGAAAGGTCGGAAACAAATTGGACTCCCAATATTGGCTGTCTACATGTACAAGTTCCTAACTAACTTAGATGTATGTATATGTATTGTGTGTGTGCTACACAAATAAAAGGAAAATTCTATCACAGTAGAAAATTAAAGTCGCTACAGTTTGTGCATAAACACGTCTATATAATTTAACCCTATTTAAAATTATATATATATTTATGTAAGCAAGTATATATGTATGTGTATTTATACAGAACTGAGTCAATGCGGACGAGCTATAGTATTTTATTATAATATTAGCTGTTGTTTTTAATTGTGCTTTTGTTTTTTGGTATGTGTGCGCTAGATTAGCTAACTATACTGCATACTAACTGAAATCTCTAAATTAGCGCGTCTTATAAAGACAGCGTTGCGCCATGACTTTGCCGATTGGGGCCTTGTGTAAAAGCATTATCCTAACGCTAGCGCTTAATTTGGTCGGTCTTCAATGCTGTGTAGCTTGAAATTATTGTTTAATTTAAGAGTTTTTACGATTTATTTATTCTACTCATACTATAAACACTTATTACATTAACGCTCCATTTTTTGTTTAGTCAAATCATTTTATATATTTCATTTTTTTAGCTTGCATTTTTGCTTGCGCTTATTTCATACAGCTAAATTATTTATTTACAGTGTCCGTTTTAACAAATTTAACAACTTTAATTTTATCCTAAAAAAAAATTCTCCTTTTTTGGTCAACTTAAAGCTGAATTTAAAATTAGTGTAAATAACAACAGCGGAGAATTGATTGCATCTTCTGATATATAGTTTTATATATAAAGTATATATGTATGTATATAAATACACATGTGTGGTTGTGTATGTGTGTGTTTGTTGAGTTACATACGTATGTATGTGTATAACAAATCTCGTAGCGTTTGCCGCTCCACATTTCTCACGCTGCTTAGAGCTATTCGACTAGTGCTAAAGTTATAGTTTAAACTATTTTACTAGATTATACTCATAAACGTAATCAATAATTTTATTTTAATAATATTTTAATTTGTTCTAGTACTAAATATTAAATAAAGTTTTTTTTTTTATTTGCTGTATCTACAGTTTTCTTTAGCATAACTTACGGCGTTAAAACTAAAATATTAACAAAAAAATTTGCGTGCGTGTGTGTGTGTATACACAAACGTATTTATCATAAAATCGATCCATTTACAAATTTATAAAACTAAATAAACCAATTTGCAACTTTTAAAGTAAACTATGCATTAATTGTGTCTGAAGAAATTCCAAGCACAAGACTGTAACACAGCGAATATTAACGAAAATGAATATCAATTTTCATTTTTTTTTTTTTTTGTAAATTGCTTTGTGTTTTCATGTACAACGGCAAATAAACGGTCGTTGGTTAGTTATTAGGCAAATGTATTTTTAAAATACAGCTTGTTATGGCCAAATGTGCGGCTTGAGTGGCGAGGCGATAGGCTGAAAAGCGCTAAGCGGCCCTCCAACCAACACGCAAACGCGACACCCCCTCGCCGCACATGCGTGCGCAATTTATGCCTTCGCTAGTTTTTTGGGCCGCATCGGCACCAGACAATAGCCTGCACTTACATCGCAGCCGCTAATTAGCAAATTCTTCAGCACTGAATTTGATTGTGGTTGCGGTTGTTGCATGCCATTGCAGTTGGCTTTTAGCTCGGCGGCGGTGACCCAACGCGACACGCTACTGTTGGCTTTGCGTGCCTGCTGCTGTTGTTGCAGTTTTTGTTGTTGCCCCTTCAAGTGTTGCGGCTGCAAGGGCGATACTAGTTGTTGCAGCAGCTGTGGCACAGACTGCAAGTCCATTGCAGTGCTCTTCATGCGCTTGCTCTCCAGCTGTGTGCTGGGCATGGAGCTCACCAAATGTCGTTTATGCGACTGTTGTTGTTGTTGTTGCTGGTTTTGCCTTTGTTGTCCGTGCTGCTGTTTAATATCAATCATACGCACTGTGGCACCGCTTGTACCAATTGTTGGTGTTGTCATTGTTGTTGCTTGGCCATTCAACAACTTGATTGTTGTGACTTTATGACCACCACGATTCGCTGGCAACATTTCATCTTTTATTAGCATTTTATTGCTGATATTGAGTTGTTGTTGTTGTTGCTGCTGCTGCTGCTGTTGCAACAAAATATTCTTAGTGTCTTGTATTGTTATCAATGGCACGGCATTCAAAATTATATTGTGCTGTTGCTGCTGCTGCGGCGACGACAGATGTTGCTCCAGGCGCAAGTGTGATTTGCTATTGTCCAGCTTATGCTGTTGTTGTTGTTGCTGAGTTGGCGAGTTTAACGATGCCACAGGCGAGGGCGATGCTGAGGATGAAGTGTCGCTGACATTGATTTGCAACAACTCATTCCAGCAATCAAGATTCGTAGCTATACGGAAATAACGTAGGAAGGTAGAGCAAACAGAAAATATTAAAAGTTGAAATAAAAAATTTAAATGTGTAATTTGGTCTTACTGTAAACAGAAATGCGCGTGTTTTGGAGGAAATTCGTTGAGTTTTGAGTTTTTTAAATATAAACAGTTATAAATTAATATAAAAATAATAAAAATAATAAATAATAAATAAATTTATATTTCCAGACAGCATTTCCCTTTTTTTTTAAATTAATACAAATATATTATACAAGTATTAGATAATTTTAAATAAATATAATTTTGTGGCAAATTTTGTTTTTTTATGGGGTTACATACAGTTAGAATTTTCAAAAAATCGGTTTTTTTAAATTTTAATGTACATATATTTAAGAATACACACAGAAAATTTCTATCGTTCTGGTGAATATTTTCGAAGTTACACGCAAATTTGAAAAGACGTTTTAGAGTACTTGGAAGTACAAGGCGGCAGCGACTACATGACCAAACTTAAAGACGTTTTTCTAAGAATCGTGTCTTCAAAATCGGTCACCAACATTGCTCGAAAACGGCAAAGACTGACTCAAATTTTAACACGAGCTTCTTAAATATATTTTTTTAGTAATTTAGTAATTGACCGAAATTTTTTTCTCTCCGATAAATATTTTTGTTTTTATTAACAATTAATGGCGAGAAACTGTTATTTTGTCAATAAATTTTATTTAGCTTATTCCTTCCCATATGAAAAACGAGATAAGAAAATACTAAAACATGAAATATGATAAAAAATGGTTTACAAAATTATAGCTTTTATTAACTTTTTTATAATAAATAAATTTAAAATATAATAAATTTAATGTAATTAAAAAAAAAAAATTATGAAAAAACTAATTTTTTAAACAATATAACAGTTATCAAACCTTTTTTATATATAAAAGAAATAAAAAATGTGATATTTCGAAAGAAAAATGCTCATCGATTTAATCTAAACTAAAAAATTAAATAAATATTATGAAAAAAAATAATTATTTTAAAAAATTATAGTTTTTATATAAAAAAAATTTAAAAAAATGTATTTGAAAACTAAATAATTTAAAAAGAAGTTTTAATCAATTTAATTAAAGATTAAAAAACTATATATATAAAAAATATGATTTTAAAAAATTATAATTTTTATTAAACATTTTTCATATGAAAACCTTATTGAAAAAATGTAAAATTTAATTTTGTTATATACTTAAATTAGTAAGAATCCTAATATTTTAAAATGATTAATTAATATTTATATAATGATTAAAAAAGCCGGAAATATTGTGTGATGTTTTAATTCCAAATAACAAATTTGTCACAGCCCACACACCAACTAACAAATTAATATTACAATCAAAAAAGCAATAAAAATAATCCGTATAAATTTTCAAGAACTCTGCAACATTTATAGACCCTAAAATCGCAGCATATTCTATATTGCAATGAACTCAATATAAAACAAGCAAGGAAGTTCTAAGTTCGGGTGTAACCGTAAATTTTATACTCTCGCAACTTGCAAGCATCAAAGCCCGGGAAATTACTTCAAGTGTTGGCAAACTTTTGTATTAAAGGAAGTATTGATCCGATTCAACCTATTTTTGACACAAAAACATACTATTATCGAGAGTTTCATTTATTTATTTTATTATATGAATTTCAATTATATATCTCACACATTGACCAATATTTTCGGAAAGAAGTCAACTATAGGCACTGGGGCCCACATATTCAGTACCTAGGGGCTTGAACAGTTTTGGTTCGATTTGCACAATTTTTGGTCACAAGATGGCATAATTTAAACGCATTTTATCACGATATATTCATTGTTGCCTGATTTGCATAGTGGAAAGTAAAAGAAGCAGATGGAATTTCAAATGGCATTATATGGGAAATAGGTGTGTTGTCCCCCGATTTCACTCAATTTCGCACTGTCGATAGAGGTTCTAAAAACATTTGTCCTCACTGAATTTTGTTATTATAGCTTTAGCGGTTTAGAAGATATGCACATTCAACCTACCCACATGGCATCACGCCCACTTTAAATAAAATTTAAACTAAATATGCCCCTCTCTAACATGATCCTGGGTACCAAATAACAGTATTGTATCATATTGCGGAGCTTAGTTGTGGCAGTTTATTTGTTTTTGATGGGCGTGGTAGTTGTCCAATTGCGCTCATCTGCAATACCAACCGTCGTACGATACCAAAAAACATGTGTACCAAGTTTCATAAAGGCATCTCAATTTTTACTCAAATTACAGCTTGCACGGACGGACGGACGGACAGACAGTGACCCGAATTTTACCTCGACTCTCCTCATTTATATATATATATAACCCTATATCCAACTCGATTAGTTTTAAGTGATACAAACAACCGTTAGGTGAACAAAACTAGTATTTTCTGTAGCAACAGGTTGCGAGAGTATAAAAATGTCTATAGCCCATTTGATTTATTCCGGTTTCGCTTATCAGCCAAACAAAATATAATAAAAAGTAATAACAATGTCCCTGACATTGGCAGTAAAACATGAATATTATACAATTGTGTTGAGAGGTAAGGCCTACAATACTTTTTCGTAAAAATATATGAAGTATACATAAATATGTACCATATGTATGTATATATGTAGTATCTAAAAATGCTGGTACATCAAATATTCGATATATTGCTGAGCACCGAAAGTGAAAAGAAACAATGCGGCTGGTCAGTTTTCTCAATGCCAATTTGCATGGTACAATTTCTGTCGCACAAAAATTCAGTACATAACGGAGAGTGACATTTTGTGCTTTCTATTAGATTTTAAATTTAGAATAATGAATAATTATGTCAGTACTCTCTTATAGTACGTAATATTTTTTGAAAAAACACATACAAATAGATAAAATATATGTGTTATAATTTTTTGTACTATATACCCCATTTCGATTAATTGAAAAAGTGTCGTAAGATAAAAAATATGTGGGAAAGAGTTAAAAATTAATACAGTATTTTTACAGTAGACACAAATATGTTAAGAGTATTAGGTAATATAGATTATAAATTTTCGGTTTTTAAAATAAATCAAGAGTTATTGATTTCTTTTCAAATAGAAAAAAGATAATAATACCAATATAAATCGGAAAGGATTAAGAATATTTCAGTATTAATTTTAATTATGTTACTAATTGTTATGTGTTAAAGTAAGCCGTTTTTATTTTTTATTTGGGTTTTATTAGTATTTTCAAATATTTAAAAAAAATATCATACAAATAAGAGTAAGTTCTTAAACAAAAAGTGCTGTGAATGAAAATTACTGAGAAAAATCCAATGTACTGTAGTAGCAGCAGGGTTAAGGTTTTAAGTCTTTTCTTTTGAATTTTACAATTATTATTATTTGTTTTTACAATCATTTTTTTAATTATAATACAAGGCGCGTTCCAAAGTAAACAGTAAATAAGATAAAACGTTAACTTCGGTTGCGCCGAAGCTATAATACCCTTCACAAAAACAAAGGCCCCTTACAAGAACTTGATTCCGAACGTTCAATTTGTATGGCAGCTATATGATATAGTGATCTGATCTGACCAATTTCTGTGGAGAATAATTTGTTGTCTTAAGCAATAACTCGTGTCTAATTTCGTGAAGATACCTCGTCAAATAAAAAAATGTTCCATGCAAGCACTTTACTCCGATCGTTCAGTTAATATGGCAGCTACATGCTATAGTCATCCGATCCATACAATTTCTTCGGAGATTAGATTAATGCTTTAAATAAAAATACATGCCAATTTTCGTGAAGATACCTCGACAAATGAAAGAGTTTTCCATACACGCACTTCATTCCGATTGTTCAGTTTGTATGACAGCTATATGCTATAGTGGTCCGATATCGGCCGTTCCGACAAATGAGCAGCTTCTTGGGGAGAAAAAGAAGTGTTCAAAATTTCAGATCGATATCTCAAAAACTGAGGGGCTGGTTCGCGTATATACAGACGGACAGACGAACAGACGGTAAACTCTAGTGGCGCCATGTATATGTCGACTAGTGCGTTAGAATCTGCTATCCTTTATCGACTTCCAATAAAATTCATGACAATTTCATGACATGTCATCTATTGGAAGTGCAGTTATTGCATTTTAAGTGTCAGTATGTTTTTGTCATCAGTGCGAAAATGAGTTTCGAACAAAGAGCCAACATTAAATTTTGTTTTAAAATTGGTAAAACTTTTACCGAAACGTTTCAATTGATGAAACAAGTTTATGGCGATGATTGCCTATCCCGTAGCAGAGTGCACAAGTGGTTTCAACGCTTTCGAAGTGGTCGTGAGGAAATAAATGAGAAATGAGCCGAAACCCAAAAAATTGCGCATGGAGAAGTCAAAAGTGAAGACAATGCTGATTTGTTTTTATGATTCCAAGGGTATTGTCCACAAAGAATTTGTTCCACCCGTCCAGAACGTTAATGCGGTATTCTACCTTGGAGTTTTGAAGCGTTTGTTGCGCCGTATTCGACGTGTTCGGCCCGAATATCGCGAAGATGGAAGTTGGCGTTTGTTGCACGATAACGCGCCGTCTCATCGATCGACGCTTTTGGCCGATTATTTGACCAAAAATCACATTTTAACAGTCAACCACTCCCCGTATTCACCTGATATGGCACCGTGCGACTTCTACCTTTTCGGAAAAATGCATTTGCCGATGAAAGGAAAGCGTTATGCAGAGCTAAAACACTCGTTCGACATGCTTTTGGACCGTGCAAAAGGCTGTATTAAAGCAGAAGGAGACTATTTTGAATAAAATTAATTGATTTTGCCAATACCTTGTATGGTACTGGGTACTGGCAGAGTTATATTTTGATTGTTTTTCTAACAACTTTTTTTATATCTTTTTTAATATATATATTTCTTTCTTTTTTTTAATTTTAATTATTTTTATACTCTCGCAACCTGTTACAGAGTATAATAGTTTTGTTCACCTAACGGTTGTTTGTATCACCTAAAACTAATCGAGTTCAATATAGGGTTATATATATATATAAATCATCACAACGGGGTAAAACTTTGCGTGAATAATGCAATTAAAGTATGCCACCCTGTGACCAAAAATTGTCTAAACCAAACCAAAACTGCTCAAGCCCCTAGGTACTGAATATGTGGATCCCAGTGCTTGTGAAGGGTATATATTTCATATAATAAAATAAATAAATGAAACCTTCGATAATAGTATGTTTTTGGGTCAAAAATTGTTTGAATTTCCTTTAACATAAAATTTTGCCAAGACCTTAAGTAATTTCCCGGGTTTTGATCCTTGCAAGTTGCAAGAGAATAAAATGTTCGGTTACACCCGTACTTACAACTTCCTTACTTTTTTTGAAATTTTAATTATTAAAATTAATTTTTTAATTTCAAGTGTTTGGTTTGCGAAATTTTAAAACTGTATGTTTAGGGTTTGAATTCTTTTTTCACACTGTGAAGTTAAAAGCAAACAAAAAATAAATTTTCTATTTTTGCTTTTATACTTCTACTGCTACCTCTTCTATTGTATATACAATACATACCTAGAAACGTGTGAACTTTTATACCGTAGAAAATATTCGTATGATGCTCAAACATCAATCAAGAAAATAAATAAAGCGACAGCGGAGAAGAAAACACGGAATAAAGTTCAACAGGGCACTCAATCAATAATTATTGGAATTTTTATGAATACATATTCATACATAATGCGTGCATAACAAGTGTAAAACAAACAAGCATCACTAATAAAAGAAAAAATATTATAAAATACACGCAAACATACTTGTACAAGTGTATGTTGTCGCTTTCAAGTGTGAAAATCTACTAGCGCTATAATTTTGACTATTTATTGACTAATTAATGAATATTACACTTTAGTGGCAACATGAGACGGTGAATAGGAATTGATGGCGCTACAAACGGCTTAATTACTTGGACCCTTGTCAATCAACAGCTGCCGGAGAAGCATTTTATAAACAAAGAAATAATATTATATGCATGTAGTTATGTACATCAGCATATTTTGAGTCCATAAACATTTTGAAAATTGAAAAACGTAATCACCTTCTTTCTCTTATTCAATTTGCATCATTGAATTGATGGCACGTTAGCAATAAATGATAGCATAAACGAAGGGGGAACCAGCGAACATCCCACCATGAGCTCGAAGACACATTCAACTAAACATATTTATTATATATGCGCCGGCACGTGTGTGTGTTTAAAAAAAAAAACAGAAAATAATAATTTATGGAGTGGGTGGTCTATCAAGTAAATTTTTTATTTCAATTTATTTTACTCTAAACTAAACTTTTATGAAGACATTTAAATTATAATAATACAAAAAATCGCACTTTTTGGCAAATGAATGCCACTTGCTTGTTTTATAGGGTGTTGAGAACTATTGAAGTGGTGCAAAACTTAATAAAGCACAAACGGTTTAATTGACATTCGCGCGGCAACCAATTTGAAATTGAATTAATATTATGCAACGTGATGAAAATGAAGGCCAAATTGTTCGAAATTGTCATATATTATACAAAAAATTAATATAAAAGTAAAAAAATATGCCGACGACACACCCTATACTTGTTGACATATAAATAAAAAATAAGAAAATTCCACTTGAGTTTTATTACTGCTCTAACATATTTTAAGAATTTGCAAATATTTACAATATTTTAACCATAGTAAGGCGAAAGGGGCCTATCCACATATAATATTTAATACACACACAAATGTATGGCAAAAGAGCAACCATAAAGGCAGCCAAACCTCCGGCAAAAGAAATTACACAAAGATCGGCGACAATTAGCCTAGGAAAAACGCACACGCACAGGGAGAAGCGGAAGTTCAAATAAATTAAAACAACACAACAACAAAAAACATACATATATATGTATAAAAAGGAGGTATGCATTATTACAGTGTGTATGAAGTGTGCGAATTAAATTTTTTGTTTTTGCTTTTTAAATTTTGCGTGCTATTGTGTTAATTAATATAAATTTAGAGAAATAAAATTAAAGCTATATTAATCATGTTTGTAAAACAATTAATCTTATATAAAGGATATGTAATGCAAAGAAATTTGAGTAGCTGAGGCAGAAAAAAAATAATCGAACGCATTTTTATTCTTATGAAATTGGGCTTCAGAGTGTTCTCACTTAATACAAACTCAAAAGAAGAGAGAGTGGTTAAGATACTTTTAAACAAAATAAAATAAACAACTAGAAAAAATTGTTAACTTCGGCTGCTTGGAATTTATAATAGCCTTTACATGTGCAATTTTTATAGCACAATAGGGTATAAAAGATATTTTTCTAGAGTTAGATCGATCAGTTTGTATGACAGCTACATATATATGCAATAGTGGCTCCATCTGAAACATATCTTTGGAGATTGTAAAGTTGCCTTTGACAACAATATTTCTCAATTTTCGTTAAAATTTATTGTGAAATAAAAACGTGATTCCTGCAAGAACTTCATTTTGATCGTTTAGTTCGGATGTTTGATCCGATATTGACTTGAATCAATTTAGATTCTTAAAAAATCTTATAAAACTAATACGGCAATTTCTTATCGTAATCTTACAAAAAAAAAGGGAAAAAATTATTTAAGAATACAAAAAGTAACATGTAAATGTAGACAAAATCAGACGTTAGTAATAAGCCCGGTAAAAAACAATTATTAGAAGGAAAATAATAAGATGAAATGAGAGCGGAAAATAAATAAACTAGATAATAATAAACTAATTTCTTTAATTGGGATTTTCCATTCGCTTTATATTAAGTGCATATACGTATGTGCATTCAGCTCGCTTTGCTTTTGTTTTTGACTTCTATTAGTGTTTTTTTGTTGTTTCTTAATCACCGCAACCTTGGCATTGAATAAATATTTACACGCCAGGGGATTAAGATGCAAATATACATACAAACATACATACATATGTACACATAAATACAAAATAGAAGTGTTGGCTAACTTTTGTATTTGAGAAGCAGGCAGCTAATCCAGAGATATAGCACTATGCACATGTATCTATATTATTGTATAACTATGGTCCCAAACAAACAACACATAATAGTATACGTAAATAAAGTAAATATAACTAAACATATGAAAAATATATACATATATTTTAAGATAAAACAGTATACTGAGTTAGACATCAAAGGCAGAACGCACCCCTAGTGACGTTAACAACAAACGACAATCAAATACGAGATAGTACAATAAAATAAGAATAGCATTTATCAAGGGTCGCTGAGGTGCCGCTACATGATAATCTTTCAACATACGCAACTAATCAGCGCAAAGTCGCAATTTAGCAAGGGGTTATTTAAATTTAATCACAATTAAAAAATGTTGACTGATATGTGTCGAAATACAAGTTGAAAAAATATGCTCAACGAATTTCCGTTACATAGACGCACGCATTTCTTAATTTTTACGTAAGACGAAGTGGAGGGTATGTTTGCTCGAGCCGGCGATACTTACAATCCTTACTGTAAACATTGTCAAAGGTGTCCTCCAGCGAATCACATAAGCTCGGCGACAGTGAACTCTCCTTCTTGCAATCTATGTTCAAGCCGAGCAGTTGCAGCTGCCGTTGCTGCTCTTGCTGTTCGGCGGCCAACTCTTGTTGCAACTGCAAACGAAAATCAACGCAATGTGTCTGCTGTTGTTGTTGTTGTTGTTGTTGCTGCTGCAAAGCAACATTACGATCCTCTGCACCACCACTACTACCACCACCACAATTATTATTCAGAATTGATAAAGTGCCGTTACCGGAGCCACAAAGCAGCGCCGCCAATTCACTAGTGTCCGTACTATAAACACAACTTGTATCTTGCAGTTGTTGTTGTTGCTGCTGCTGCTGTTGCTGTTGTTGTTGTTGATGATTCACCGGTGACGGTGATAGTGATGAAACGGTCGATGCAGGTGAAGAGCACAATGAATTGAAATGTGATTGACTGATGTGTTGAGCATCATGATAGCCATTCAAGAGGTTGTGGTTGCTTTCGCTAGACTGTTGTTGTTGCAATTGCAATTGTTGCAACGTGGCGTCGACATCCTTTTGATTGTTCAGCTCTTCGCTGCCGAGGCCATTGCTGGCGCACCACATCAGATCGTCGGCAGTGAGGAGTGGCAAATCCTCTTGCTCGTTCATTGGAATATATGGTGCACGCATACTCATGTCTATGTCTTCGTCAACGCTCATTGTCATAAATGCAAATCCATCATCCTGACTGAGGGAGTTGGGACTGCAGAGCGATGGTAGACTGCTTGCTTCAGGACTCTGCAAATGTAAATGGGAGAGTAACAGAAATTTAGTAAGCTGGGTGAGTAGGAAAATGTTTTTATTGGTTTCATTTATAAAGTTAAAATTTGAAGCTATTCGTAAAGCTGTTGAAAAATTAATAGTATATTGGTTTTATTTTTAATTTTGGTTTTAACTGCTCAATTTTTTTTTTGTTTTTTACTTTGACTTTTGAATTAAGAGCTCCGAAATACAATATTTATTTTTTGAACGAAAATTTTCATCAGTATTGAAATTAAAATAAACGAATATCCGATCATAAACAGAGATATATCCAACGGCTTTACTGACTACTGAATAATTTTAATAAAAAGTAGTAAAATACGAGAAAAATTAAGCTAGTTGATTTGCTTTCAATAAATTTTAAAATTATTTCAGTCGGCAATTACAAAAAAATTATTTAAAAAAAACAGAATTAAAAAAAAATTAAAAATAAAATATTTAAACAAAAATTTATATTTGAAATATTACCAATTACTACATATTTTAAAAAAAAACTCTTTTCTCGTGCTCTCGCTTTAACTCACCTTTGATGCCACGCTGGGCGAGAGTAAATGCTGCGAACAGTTGGTGTCATTCGATTCCTCCCTATAGTTTATGAATGGATCGATGTGTACAACTGGTTTGTTGCATAAATTATTGCTATTGCTGTTGTTATTATGCAATGTGCCAGCATTTAAATTACTATTACAATTCTGTTGATGTGTGGGACTACTCAAGCCGATTTTGTTAATGCTATTACTGTTATGATTGTTATTGCTGTTATTAATAGCGCTGTTGTTGCTATTTTGATTTGGTGTATCTGGCGATGAGGAGCTCGTATTGGAATCGAGTGAACTGTAATCATCGGGCAGGAAACTGCCATAGGAGTAAGAGCACAGACCTAATAGCATTTCACCACAAAATGGTACAGGGTCATCGAGGCGCATGCAAGCATCAACAGCAGCTGGAGCCAGGTGTGCCAAATCATCGGGTTCCTCTTTGAGCACTGCAAGGAAGAAGATTAAAGAGAATCATAAATTAAAGAGTTGTAATTAAGCTGCTGTAGAAAATATTATTTAATTATATGAAAATGTGTGGATGGATGTATGAATGTGTGTATGTTAATAAACATAATGATTATTTAAATTATGCTAATTGCCTACAAGCATCTACATGCTCGAGTTATATATCTAACGTAAGAATGACACTCAGGCTCTAATTAATCGCTATCGAATATTGCGTGTATTGCATGGACGCTAGCATCTAAATATTTTTGGAATTTCAATTTGTTACTCTCCTACCTTTTTTTTTTTTTTTTTGATACACAGATAAATATTTCATCCTCCACCCTTCCCCTCTGTCCATTGGTGGTTGTGTCGTCACTCATTTAATTGACAGATTTCAATTGAGTCTAATTAAAGTTCATCTGAATTAGTTGATTTATTAGTATTTTATTGAAGCATTTAGTTATATAGCCAACGACTGAAAATGGCCTGCCGAAAATTTACTACATACATCTACAATTTCAAATTTATAGGGTTTATTTTTCGATGTATAGAATTTCGTACCAATAGAGAGATAGCTGTCGAATGTGTTTGACATTTATGTCGAGTATACTGTCGAAAATCGTAAAATTTGCAATGGATGCAGAACTACAAGTCATGGAAATAAATTTCGCATTTAATAAGTAAGTAAAACTGTCGGATTTGGAATGCGAGATCTTATGAAAAACCTCTACAAGATTTCTTGCATTCAGAAAAAGTTTCTGTTATATGTCTTGTATGGGCATACTTCTTTAAAATTACATATGATGAGTTATTGGGACTAGCTTTTGGCAATCAAACCGAATCATCCATAGAAATGGAGTTGTTATATGACGAACTAGATCATGTGATATTTCATTATTCGTTGGAAATTCGACCTAATAAAGGCAATTTATTTGCCAATCCATTGATTTTTCTGTGAAATGAAATTTGAATGTGAATTAATTTGAAATAAAAGTGCAACAACACTAATAAAAGGACCCTTTATATATCTTATTTTCATATTTCATATGAACATGGAAAATCTTAACCGAAAATTTAACTGAAACCCCAAAAATGTAGAGCATTCAGAAATCTCAACAATATTACTGTAATATTATATATATATACCTATAGCTATGCGCGTAAATACCCACATATACGTTGTTACGTTATTCTCCTTCAGCAAATAGATTTTTACAATACTTGTCATTTATTTCTACCTACTACACGTTTAGTAAATTTTATAATAATCGTTTAAAGTGCTTAAGGTGGATTTCACCACTTCTTTTCATTTAATGGCATTCGAATTTTGAAGTAATTGAATATTTTAAGTACGCTATAGATATTGAATCACGTCAATACATTATTACAATTTATTGTGAAATAGAACATGTTCTGTAAGAAAAAAGTCAACCCTTACGGGATAAGTGCTTAGCCGCTATGTGATAACCTAGAACCGACAACTGATATCTTAACTACTACTCAATAACATAAAACCTTCTATGACAATCTATAGCGAAGAAGTCGAGTAATCTTCTTAATTTCATTTTTGACTACTTCAAAGTATGATAACGATTAGACACAGACAACTCAGTACTATTATTTCGAATGTTAAAAGTTTTTCATAGAAGTTAATCAACAGTCGATAAAAATATCGAAAGCCTCCACTCGAAAGATTTTTCAAGTGTGAAAACTCGAAACTTTTCAACATTAATGCAGATGCGATTATAAACAAGAGGCCACTAAGAGTAGTGGGGGGGGATATACAAACTAAAGCTATACACGATTTTAAAAATACACAAATAACGTTATCCACACCTTCAACAGCAAAAGACAGAACAAAATTTCGCTAAAAATAATACCAGAAATAAGAAATTTGAGAAAAATCTCACACAGGAAGGCGCTGTGCCGAAGAGAGTTCAAGCGGACAACGCAGACAAAACGACACTTTCGAAACACGTGTATGTTTGTATTATTTATATGCGAGTGTGAGTTTGTCTACTGTTTAGTTTTACCATGTCTTAGGGAATTCTTTATAATCTTGCATTACTTAGTGGCGTTTATATACATTTATATATAGGTATATATATATTAGTTATAGGGTTTTCTTACTTTTATGCGGGTGTTAAGGGTATTATAAAAAGAAATATTCAGGAAAATAATGTAAGAGATCGATCTAAGGAAAATTATGGAAAATAAAAAAGTAAAATAATAAGAAAAATATATAAATAAAAGTAATTAGGTGATAATAAATTATATGAATTAAAAATATAACTAAAAAAATAAATTTTATAAATATATAAATGAAATAAAATAGTAAAAAAAAAGTAGTGATAACTAAAAATTATAAACAAATAATATATAAAAAAATATTTAAAAAAAACTAATAATTATAAAAAATTCAAAAATATTTTTATGTATATTATTGTTGTTTTTACTGAATTGTTTACCTATCTACAAATATTTTCGTACACAAACACTCGCATCGATTGCGCAATATGTTGTGTTGATAAGCATTTTGCTTTTGTTAACATAGTTGTAACAAAATAGTCTCATTGACAGATGTTTTCTAACGTTGTTGACGTAAATCGTTCAAATTACAGACGTTTGCGGAAAAATTGCATGCAAATCCTTCGCTTAAAAGAGCATTATCATAATTTTACAAACGTCATAGAATCAAAACCTTTTGTTCATATGTGTGCTGTAACAATTGTTGATGCACTCGGCTAATTAAGTTGTATGTACAGAGATGTAAAAAAAAAATTAAATATTTGAGTGGTGGTAAGACAATTGAAAAAAAATTAAAAAATAAAATACGACAACATCAAACGGCCTTATCTCACTTTCAGGTAGCAAGATAACATGATAACCCTTGCTCTACAAGTGCTTTACTAATTACTTTTAAACATAATATAGTACTATGCAATTTGACTTTTTTCGGTAAAGAAAAAAACCGATGAAGTAGACTATTTCCGTATTCATTTCTGGCAATTGGGTTGAAAAAAAAAATAAAAATATAAAAAAAGACAAGAAACTATGTTTACTTCGGCTGCACCGAAACCAAAACACCCTTGACAAATAAAAAAGTTTCCATACAAACTTAATTTTGATCTGTCACTTTGTATTGCAGCTATACAACATAGTGGTCCGATCTGGAAAAATTGTCGGAGATTATAGGGATGCCTTTGATATAAATTTATGTCAACTTTTGTAAAGATACTTCGTCAAAAAAAATATATATATATATTCCTTAGAAGGGCATGCATTTGATCGTACAGTTTGTATGGCAGCTATATGCCATAATGTTTCAATATCGGCGACTCCGCTGATGATTAATTAATATATTTTATAGGGTCTTTCCTTTTGGGTGTTACGAGTACAAAAATCGTGGCAAACTTAGGGTATATTAAGTGCACAAAAACAATAAAAGCGATTTCAATGTAAAACTATTGGTTGTTAATTATTCTAAAACTAGGGTTTAATTAGATTCTGATAACTGTAGAGAAGGGAATTGAATTAATGGCCTTCATTTTGATATATATACACTGTTTTTTAGAAATTCTTTAATGTTTTGCAAATATTTATTTTGATTAATAAAACAAATTTTTTTCTTTTAATTTGGATTAGAATTTTAAAAGATTGTATGGAGGCGAAAAACAGCACATAAAAATTATGAAGTAAAATTACAAATTTTTAAATATGCACTTAGAGTTAAAAAGCAACTGACAAAAACAGTTACATAAAATGTTTGGCATTACCAACTTAAAAACTACCACTATACTAGTCTATAACAGATTACATTTAAATAGCATTATAATCATATGAAAAATATATCTAATTGGAATTTTTAATCAATGTCATTTCAGCGTTATTATAATATTGTAATAATTTTTTTTTTGTGTCGTGAATTTCATAAAATTAATTATAGAAATAATAACAACCCTACTGTTTATAAAGATATGCAATATATTAAGTAAAAATGCTTTAATTACAGCAAACTATTTTTTAAGTATTAATTACTCATCTAATTACAAAGTAAAAAATTTACAAAAAAGAAAACAAAAACAAGTAAGGAAGGGCTAAGTTCGGATGTAACCGAACATTTTATACTCTCGCAAAGTCAAATGGTATACTCGTTTGAGATTTCTTTGTGGATTGACCGATATTTTCTGTAGAAGGTCAACTATAGATACTGGGGTCCACATGATCAGTACCTAGGGGCTTGAACAGTTTTGGTTCGGTTTAGAAAATTTTTGGTCACAAGGTGGCATTCTTTAAACGTATTAGTCACGCAAAATTTTACCCCGATATAATCATTGTTGCCTGATTTGGATACTGAAAAGTAAAAAAATCACATATAACATTGAAATATGAGAATAATATTATGTACCGAATTGGGTTGAAATCGGTTAAGCAGATCCCAAGATATGGGATGGCGGTGCCACGCCCACTGACTAATTTTGAACGCGGTTCCTATAAAGTCATCTCATATCATCCTAGAGATAAAATTTAATGTCTCTGGTGTGTTTATTACGCCCATCTGCAATACCGCCCGTCTCAAGGTACCAGAAACATGTCTACCAAGTTTCATAAAGATATCTCAATTTTTACTCAAGTTACAGCTTACAAAGACGGACGGACGGGCGGACAGACGGACAGACAGTCACTCGGATTTCAACTCGTCTCTACATCCTGATCATTTATAAATATATAACCTTATATCTACCTCGATTAGTTTTAGGTGATACAAACAACCGTTAGGACCGAACAAAACTATAATACTCTGTAGCAACAAGTTGCAAGAGTATAAAAAAGCAAGATAAAAGTAAACAAAAACTCGCGCGAATGTAACATTTGCAATCATATATAGTATATACGTATGTAGAAAATGGACCAATATTGTGAAATTCAAAACTTTTTAAAAAAGAGCCAGACACTAATTAATACTTCACTATATATAAATGGTAAATATATATATATA